ATATATACAGATGCTCCTTCACTTACCATGGGGTTGCATCCTACTATACCTATCATAAATAAAAAATACTGTAAGTTGAAAATGAATTTAGTGTTAATAATACAGAAGATGGTCCCCAACTTATAATGGTTTGATTTATACATATTTTTTAACTTTATGAGGATGCAAACACAATGTATTCAGTAGAAACCATAAGCCCATTATAAGTCATACGGAGCTCCTTGACTACTTACCATGCAGGTTACATGCTGACAAATCCATTGTAAAGTCAAAAAGTCATAAGTCAAATCATCCCATCTCTCTCTCTCTCTCTCTCTCTTTTTTTTTTTTTTTGAGATGGAGTCTTGCTCTGGTGCCCAAGCTGGATGGAGTACGGTGGCATAATCTTGGCTCATTACAACCTCTGCCTCCTGGGTTCAAGCAGTTCTCCTGCTTCAGCCTCATGAGTAGCTGGGACTACAGGTGCATGCCACCACACCTGGCTAATTTTTTGTATTTCTAGTAGAGATGGAGTTTCACTGTGTTAGCCTGCATGGTCTTTATCTCCTGACCTTGTGATCCTCCTGCCTAAGACTCCCAAAGTGCTGGGATTACAGGCATGAGCCACCACACCTGGCCCCATCTCATCTTAAATTGGGGACCGTCTCTGTAAGTTTGTGGAAATCTCAATTTTTCAGTTATAATTGTGTTTTCATTTTCCACTGGGTGAGCCAAAGTCTTTGCTACTGTTCCTCCTTCTAAATTTCGTAGTCTTCTTCCCACCACACAAACACACTTTTCTATTCAAAATAGTTGTAGCACCAGCTTAGATACTTACCTGCAGTGCTTACCTTATGTGCTTGAGCTTTCGAGTTTTGACTCTCATTTTGAAGCCTGTAATTTCTCTTATCTTCTTTGGATTCTTCCATGCCTTTAAAATTCATTTTAAAGGAATATTTATATTACCTAACTGTTTGTAGTTGAGTGTTTTTAACAATATTGCCAGAACATGAAATGCTTGCTTGCTTTCCAAGCCACAATTACACAGAGTTACATTTAATTGGAAACAAAAATCATAACAAAGGTGGGAAAGATCCTAAATAATGTATCAAAACGTTGCACCAAAATGTCATTATAAGAAAATCAACAATGTGACTTTTTGAATTATTTATAAGTAACATAAATACTTACCTTAGGAATGACAAAAGTTCTACTGAAAATCCTTTACTTTTGTTTCTTTGCCTGAATTATTTCAAGTGTTTCATATTTAGTATTACTCTCTTTTCATTACCACACTAATATAAATCTGCTGATAGATTGAATTAATATTCTAGCTCCAAGGCCTACTTTTGAACTGTCATCTGTCATCTTTATGTGATTACCACTAGTTTTGTGCTGGTCTGGTAGATGTAACTGATTCATAAAAATTAAATTGGTTAAGACCATCAGGGTGATCTTTTTTTTTTAAATACAAGGTTATTCAGAGCACTGTAAAAAAACAAACCCTGGAAGAGAACTATAATTACTTGGAGGTTAAAAAAATAAAGTAGATGGCACTGTTTGAAGATAATGGACAGTTACTATTATTATTAGCATATTTATCTCTAATGCTTACAGTATATATTGAAAGCATTTTAATTGATTATTAACACGAGATTATTATTGAAAGTAATAAGATGAGCATAATGTATAATCATGTTTTATCTCTTTGTTAATGTCTCAGATTAAGCATTTCACTCATCAGGCTGTGTTAACTAATAATTAGATGCCTTCATTATTTATTTTTTATTAGAGGTGTTCATTAGAAGCCAAGTAAGTATGTCATAGTTGTAATTGGTTCTCATGGCCTTAGAAAGGACACTGAGTTTTTTTTTTTTAATAGAAGGATTTCTGTCTTTTAAAAATAATCCTTGGTACTATCTTAATAAATTAAAGTGTAGCTCATTTAACCCAAGTACCTTCTATTTCTCTTCTCTGGTTAATGATCATTTTTCATTCTGAGTGTTTAACTGGAAGACGAGAATATACTGATGGTGTGGAATATTACTCTGAGGGTTTATAGTAATTACACTTCGGATCACTGTTTTTTAAATTCCCCTAAATGATTGTTCATGATCGTTAACTCTCTGTTCTTAGTGTAATGGTTACTGCCGAGTTTAAAATGAGGAAACTGAGGCCAGTGTAAGATCAATCAGATGCCAATTTATTTATCTCCCAGGCGAGGTTCTGTGGTCCTAAGGAAAGGGGGCCAGAGAAGTCGCGCTTGACTTCTCAGGGCAGGGGGTTTTATGGGGTTAGAGGGGGGCTGGCCTAGGATGCATGGGGTGGGCTGCCATTGGGTAAGGCTTGGCGGGATTTCTTCAATTTTCGCAGGTTCAGATGTATAGTTTAGTGCTGAGAGTGCACAGTTTAGTGCTGAGGTTCAAATGCATAGCTGGTGCTGGGAGTGCATAGTCTAGCGCTGAATATAGACCTGGGGACAGAATGCAGAAGTGGGCGAGGGGAGCCTGCATGGAGGAGCCAGATGCTGAGTAATGTGTTCTGCCTGATAAACTGTTATCAGGCATAGAGAGGGGTGGGTGTTGTTCATCCGGCTCTTAGCAAGGCTATCAGCCTTACACTTAGCAGCTTTGAATACCTGGCTTCTTAAAGCTTCCAATATTTTCACTTCCACCTTAGCTAATGTACTTTAGAAATGCAGAGAATGAGGGAAGATTTAGTGTTAATTCTGTGCAGCATGCTCTTTACACATTGTTTAATTTAAATCATTCATGCTGAGACTGCCTTCATTTGTACAAAATTCCATGAAAGGACCCTCTTAGCAATTACAGAACTGAAGTAAAATAATTTGGATAATAATAGCAGATATTTATTGAGTACTTAATCTGTAAAAGCTTTAAATCGCTCTGGCTTAATCCTTACATGAACACTTGTGGTTGAGGTAGATACTATTATTATGACCATTTTAAGGAGGATGCTTCACTCTAAAGAGATTGAATTACTTGTTTAAGGTGAAACTGCTAATATGTAGCAGAGCTGGGACTGAACCTCAGTCCAAATGACACCACAATCTGGTTTTAACTATCATGCAATACTGTCAGCTCCACAAGACAAGGAGCAGTTTTGTCTGCTGTTCCTAGAACATAGCACAGAGCCTTTCTCCTACTAGGAGTTTGGTATATCTTTGCTGGATGAATGAAAAAAGTTGAGTGAACTGGAAAAATATTCTCTTACATTTAATGTAAATTGTGTGGTTTTTTTTTCAATTTGTCATATTATTAGGGAAAAAGAATAATTTGTCAGTGTTTTCTTTTTTAAAGTATGTGATGTTGGCTTGGCAATTTTGGTTTAGTTTGCAATCTATTAATAATTTTCATGCTCCTATTTATTTTTCTATTAGCTAGTTGCTCTGCCAGTAGAGTAAACTGTCATGGATATTAGTGCTTTCATTAAGATCTTGGAAGTGTTAAAAGCTAGGTTTCTGATAACTGTTGCAATTTAAATTGAATTTGATGTTAGCTTTTTCTTTTAATTGAAGTCTTTACTAAATCAGCATGCATAAATACTAAAGAAGATTGTCTTGTAAAATATAAAACATTAGGGAAAGACAAAAACACTGAAAAACAGATCTTTTTCTTATGAATAGAAAACTATGATCAGTCACTGATGAGTATAATGCTGCATCCTTGTTCTGCTACCGGGCTTGAGCAGAAAGCATGCCTTAAATCACCCTGGATTACTGTATCTCAAGCTCAAAGATCATTCAGTTTCTGTAGTGTGCTGGTTTAGGAACTTGTGGAAAACTTGGCAGACTTTGTTTCTTCATAGTTTATTTATCTGGCAAGGGAAGCCTAATTATCTGTTTAGATTCATCAGAGAAAAGTATTCAGTTTTTTCTTCTAAGATTCTTGTTTTAAGTTCCTTTACCATTTTTTTTGCCTTCTGGCCAAGAAGAAAAGGAGAGAAAAATTATCACCTTTAAAAATTCCTAATTTAAATGAAAATCTCACTATTACTCTTTTTTTTATTAGTACATTTTCTGCAAGTCCATTTCAACACTTGAGACTGTGTTTTTCTTAACTCATGTGAGAAGTCATCTTTCCTAGTGGCTTTCTGAGCAATAGTTACATGAACTTCTTAATTTGAATCATTGCAACTGAAAATCATGTTTCCCCTTAATGATCCTATCAAGATTTCAATTTGCACATAAAACTGCCTGTGGGTTCAACCAGTTCCTAAAATAATTCAAATTTTAATCCAAATTTATCAGTACAGAAATTAAAACACATGTAAACAGTACTTAATGCCTTAAAACAGCTGTGTGATGATTTCTTCACGGCTCTCTCCTGATAATTAATTTACCAAATCACTGTGCATCTTTCTCTGGGCCACAGATAATTCTAGATTTTTAGCCTTTCCTCAGATAATTTATTTCTTAATTCTCATTTCAAAGCACCATTCAATTTCCATTTTCTTCTACTTTGAGAACACTGGGATAGAACATTTTACGCCAATCAAATGGAACCAGTATTTAATACAATGGGAATATTATTCTTCATAGCCCTACAATTCTATTGAACAGTATGGAATTTATTAGAAGGATTCTCACTAAAAACTTAAATAGAGCTACAGTCATTAATTATTCCTTGGTATTCATGGGGGATTTGTTTGAGGACATCTGTGGATATCAAAATCTACAGATACTCAAGCCCCTTGTATAAAATGGCCTGGTATTTGCATGTAACCTATGCACATCTGAGATATACTTTAAATCATCTCTAGATTGTTTATAATACCTAATACAATGTAAATGCTGTGTAAATAGTTATTATACTGTAGTATTTAGGAACTGATAAAGGAAAAAAGTCTGTACATGTTTAGTATAGATCCAGGTATTTTTTTTTTTTTTTGGCATGTGAACTGAAATATAACCATTCTCTCTCTTTTGTTTCCTTCCTTTCATTATTCCTCTTTCCATTTTCTCTCTCCTCCTGCTCCTAATTTTCTCCTATCCTAACCAGGGTCCCCGTGGTCCAGAGGGAGTACCAGGAGAGAGGGGCTTACCCGGAGAAGGATTTCCAGGACCAAAGGTAACAATACCTTCTGTACCAGGAAAAGGTGCTTTGTCTTGCATGCTCATTAATTACAAATTTTAAAAATGTATCCTAGCTAATTTTTAGAACTTAAGTATTTTTCATCTTCATCTTCATCCTATTAAATGAAGGAATATGTAAATTTCTCTGTAATGTGAAAGTACAGTAAAATTTGTAACTACAAATAAGTAATTGGCAGACTTCTACTTCATGTAATTACTACATATGAAATTAGAAAAGTCTCTTAAAGTAGTTTGTAGTCATTAAAGCCACAGTGATAAATAACATTCTTATGCCCAGAAGTTAAATCATTGAGTGTAGCTATGGCAATGCTTTGCTCACAGCTTTGTTTGTAAAACACAGATAAGAAACCAATCTGTAACAGTACTGTCCTCAATATGATAAGAAAGAAAATTTTACCACAGGAACAAAATGTTACAAAAGACCTTGTTTTACCTGGCAATTGAGAATTTCCTATCATTTCCCATATATAATTCTTGGAGCTCAAGTTGTTCTGTATCAAGGGTTGGCAAACTTTTTCTGTAAAGGGGCAGTTAGCAAATATTTTAGGCTTTGTGAGCCATATGGTATCTGCTGTAACTAGTTAACTCTGCTGTTGTAGCTTGAAAGCAGCCATAAACAATGTATAAATGAATGAATGTGGCTGTTCCAATAAAACTGTATTTATGAAAAAAAAAAAAAAAAAGGCAGTGGGCTGAATCTGGCTTATAGGCTGTAGTTTGCTGTCCGCTGATATAGGCAGTTTGTCTATAATCTTTGGCACATTTGCTGAAAGCCATGTTAAAAACAGTTTTCCAGAATACTTTGAGCAGCATCAACAATATTTCAGAGTATAAGATACATTTGGAGTCCTTCTTCCTTTATTTCCAAAGCCTTTCCCCAAAACACACACATACATATACACACATACTGCCCAGAGAAGTACATGCTGCTTTCTAAGTGTCTCAGAACCTCCACATCAGTCATTCCATCAAATTACTAAGATCTGATCTTCTCAGAATGGCCTCATCCTCTAAAAGTGCATTTCATTCTTCCACCATGATCAATATTCAATTACCTATGAGAAGACTAAATCTTAACTAGAGGGAAAACAATTACATAAAAACAAATAATCCATCCTTAATTGTGAGTGACTACTGGGTTAAATTTTAAAAGAGACCCTTTTTAACAAACTCATTTTAATTTATTGTGATAATGGAAATATGTTGGATAAAGGGATATTAATAACACCATTGACTAATCACAGTATCACTATCAGAAGACAGGTCAGCAACTTGGCACGATATCACAGAAAGTTTTATAATACACAATTTCTTGAAATTTTTTTGGCACTTAGTAAATTTCTATTTCTATTGATTTGTAGCCCAAATAATCTGAAAAATTCAAATAGAATTATTTCTCTTTAAAATCTGTTTTTTAAAGAGAAATAAATAAATGAGAAGTGAATATATGAAACATTAAAAATAATTTCAGGGTATGTCCTAGTGACAGGTTCAACATACTTTTATATTATATAAAATATGATAAATTGATACTCTTATATGTTATAGCCTATGGGGATTGACCTCTATCTCATCAAAAAAGAACCCATCATGTTCTGTGCTGTTTTATGATCAACTATATACAGTTATACTTTGTGGAGATAATCAGAAGAATCCATTAGTCAGAATATTTCATTTCCCAACCAGTCAGACCAATGGGTGTTCTCTATATGTGCTATTTGGGGCTAATTTGTAAATGTTCTTTGACTTTATTCTTGGTTCTAATAAATGTATTAAATGAATGCTACTTCTGATTGATTATATGGTTTATTTTACATAAAAGCACATGAAAGTTTTTGACTTTCTATACATTATATTAAGGGCGGAGCTATTCACTTAGGCCATGTAACTATATAAGCATATCCAAGAAGATTTTCCATGAATTCTTTTAAACATAAATTTTCAAGGAATGTTTATAAACGCGGACAAAAAGTTTAATTCTAGCAAGTATTAGTTTACATATTAGTCTGATAAAGAAATTTTCCTTGTGTGATAGACCCAGTTTCAGCAATATTAAGGAAAAGGAGGCTTGATCTAGCTAGTTATACTATTAATTGATTAGGTGCTCCATTTCCAGAATATTTTTGTTTAAATTGAGAACTGAGCTCTTTTCTAACTTCGGGGATGCTACATATGTGTTTTGTTTGGATAGAGTCCTTCTTGTTTAAGTGTTATGACTAATGCATTTTTTCAAGTTGTAAATCTCAGAGTCAATTAGAATTACCCATTTGTAGTAAACAGTGACTTTGGATGCTCGATTTAAAAAATAATTTTGAAGCACAATTCATAGTGTTTGTAATGTAAACTCTTTTAAAATCCTGATTTTGGTTGGTGCACTGATATACCTCCCTTGTACTTTCAGGGTGAAAAAGGTTCTGAAGGACCAACTGGCCCACAGGGACTACAAGGCCTGTCAATCAAAGGGGACAAGGTACTGTATAATAGAGTGTACACTAAAAACAATGCCAGTAAAATTATCATTGTTCTTTATGTATATACATTTCTGAACTGTATACATGACAATTATGCCACACAGGTATCTGGTTAATTATAAATCTAGTATATTCTTTTTTAAAATTAATTATTTTAATTTAATTATTTGGGGAATAGGTGGTGTTAGGTTACATGAGTAAGTTCTTTTGTGGTGGTTTGTGAGATTTTGGTGCACCCATCACCTGAGCAGTATACACTGAACCCAATTTGTGGTCTTTTATCATTTCACCCTCTTCCCACCCTTTTGCCTTGAGACCCCAAAGTTCATTGTGTCTTTTTTATGCCTTTGCATCCTCATAGTTTAGCTCCCACATATAAATGAAAACATATGATGTTTGTTTTTCTATTTCTGAGTTACTTTACTCAGAATAATAGTCTCCAGTCTCATTTGGGTTGCTGCAGATGCTATTAATTCATTTCTTTTTATGGCTGAATAGTATTCCATTGTGTGTGTATATATATATATATATCTACTTCTTATCTACTCATTGACTGATGGGCATTCAGGTTGGTTCCATGATTTTGCAATTGCAAATTGTGCTGCTTTAAACATGTGTGTGCAATATCTTTTTTGTATGATGACCTTTTTCTCTGGGTAGATCCTAGTAGTGGGATTGCTGGATCAAATGGTAGTTCTACTTTTAGTTCTTTAAGGAATCTCCACACAGTTTTCCTTAATGGTTGTATTAGTTTACATTCCCACTGGCAGTGTAGAAGTGTTCCCTGTTCACTGCATCCATGCCAATATCTATTGTTTTTTGATTTTTTGATTATGGCCATTCTTGCAGGAGTAGGATGGTATCACATTGTGGTTTTGATTTGCATTTCCCTGATCATTAGTGATGTTGAGCATTTCTTCATATGTTTCTTGGCCATTTGTATATCTTCTTTTGAGAATTGTCTATTCATGTCCTTAGCCCACTTTTGATGTGATTTTTTTTTTCTTGATAATTTGTTTGAGTTCACTGTAGATTCTGGATATTAGTCCTTTGTCAGATGTACAGATTGTGAAGATTTTCTCCCACTCTGTGGGTTGTCTGTTTACTCTGCTAACTGTTCCTTTTGTCATGCAAAAGCTTTTTAGTTTAATTAAGTCCCAGCTATTTATCGTTGTTTTTATTGTATTTGATTTTGGGTTCTTCATGATGAAATCCTTGCCTAGGCCAGTGTCTAGAAGGGGTTTTCCAATGTTATCTTCTAGAATTTCTACAGTTTCAGGTTTTAGATTTGAGTCTTTGATCCATCTTGAGTTGATTTTTGTGTAAGGTGAGAGATTAGGATCCAGTTTTATTCTCCTACATGGGCTTACCAATTATTCTAGCACCATTTGTTAAATAGGGTGTCCTTTCCCCACTTTATGTTTTTGTTTCCTTTGTTGAAGATCAGTTGGTTTTAAGTATCATGGTTTATTTCTGGGTTCTCTATTCTGTTCCATTGGTCTATGTGCTTATTTTTATACCAGTACCATGCCGTTTTGGTAACTATGGCCTTATAGTATAGTTAGAAATCAGGTAATTGATGCCTCCAGATTTGTTCTTTTTATTTAGTCTTGCTTTGGCTATGTGGGTTCTTTTTTGGTTCCATGTGCATTTTCGAATTATTATTATTTTTTAATTCTGTGAAGAATGACAGTGGTATTTTGATGGAAATTGAGTTTAATTTATAGATTGCTTTTGGCAATATGGTCATTTTTACAATATTGATTCTACCCATCCATGAGCATGGCATGTGTTTCCATTTCTTCCTGTCATCTATGATGTTTTTCAGCAGTGTTTTGTAGTTTTCTTTGTAGAGGTCTTTCACCTCCTTGGTTAGGTATATTCCTAAGTATTTTATTTTTATTTTTGCAGCTGTTGTAAAAAGGGTTGAGTTCTTGATTTGATTCTCAGCTTGTTGTTTGCTGTTGGTATATAGAAGTGATCCACCCACCTCGGCCTCCCAAAGTGCTGGGATTACAGGTGTGAGCCATCGTGCCTGGCTCATTTTTGATTCTGTTTATGTGGTGTATCACATTTATTGACTTGTGTATGTTAAACCCATTCTTGCACCCTGCTATGAAACCCAGTTGATCATGGTGGATTATCTTTTCCATATGTTGTTGGATTTGGTTAGCTAATATTTTGTTAAGGATTTTAACATCTATGTTCATTACAGATATTGGTCTGTAGTTTCCTCTTTTGGTTATGTTCTTTCTTGGTTTTGGTATTAGGGTGATACTGGTTTCATAGAATGATTCAGGGAAGGTGCTCTCTTTCTCTATCTTGTGGAATAGTGTCAATAGGATTGGTACCAATTCTTTGAATGTCTGGTAGAATTCTGCTGTGAGGGAGGCCGAGGTGGGTGGATCATGAGGTCGACAGGTCGAGACCATCCTGGTCAACATGGTGAAACCCCATCTCTACTAAAAATACAAAAAATTAGCTGGGCACGGTGGCGTGTCCCTGTAATCCCAGCTACTCAGGAGGCTGAGGCAGGAGAATTCCCTGAACCCAGGAGGCAGATGTTGCAGTGAGTTGAGATCGCGCCATTGCACTCCAGCCTGGGTAACAAGAGCAAAACTCCGTCTCAAAAAAAAAAAAAAAAGGAATTCTGCTGTGAATCCATCTGGTCCTGGACATTTTTTTATTGGTAATTTTTAAATCGCCATTTCAATCTCACTGCTTGTTATTAGTCTGTTCAGAGTATCTAATTCTTCCTGATTTAAGCTAGGAAGGTTGTATCTTTTCAGGAATTCATCCATCTCCTCTAGGTTTTCTAGTTTATGTGCATAAAGGTGTTCATAGTAACCTTGAATGATCTTTTGGATTTCTGGTGCCAGTTGTAATGTCTCCCAATTCGTTTCTAATTGAGCTTATTTGGATTTTCTCCCTTCTTTTCTTGGTTAATCTTGCTAATGGTCTATCAATTTTATTTATCTTTTCAAAGAGCCAGTTTTTGTTTCATTTATCTTTTGCATTTTTTTTTGTTTCAATTTTATTCAGTTCTGCTCTGATCTTGGATATTTCCTTTCTGCTGAATTTTGGGTTGGTTTGTTCTTACTTCTCTATTTCCTTGAGGTGTGACCTTAGTTTGTCTGTTTGTACTCTTTCAGACTTTTTGATATAGGCTTGTTAGGGCTATAAACTTTCCTCTTAGCACTGCCTTTGCAGTATCCCAGAGGTTTTGACAGGTTGTGTGAATACTGTCATTCAGTTTGAAGAATTTTTAAATTTCCATCTTGATTTCATTTTTGACCCATTGATTTTTTCAGGAGCAGCTTACTTAATTTCCATGTATTTGCATGGGTTTGAAGGCTTTTTGGAGTTGATTTCCAGTTTTATTCCACTGTGGCCTGGAAGGGCTTGGTATAATTTCACTTTTCTTGGATTTATTGAGGTTTGTTTTATTGCCTATCAAATGATCTATTTTGGAGAAAGTACCATGCACTGTTGAGTAGAATGTATATTCTGTGGTTGTTGGATAGAATGTTCTGTAAATATCTGTTAAGTCCATTTGTTCCAGGGTATAGTTTGAATCCATTGCTTCTTTGTTGACCTTCTGTCTTGATCTGTCTAGTACTGTCAGTGAAGTATTGAAGTCCCCCACTATTATTGTGTTGCTGTCTATCTCATTTCTTAAGTATATGAATATTGTTTTATAAATTAGTGAGCGCCAGTGTTAGGTGCATATCTGTTTTAGGACTGTGATATTTTCCTGTTGGACAGGGCCTTTTATCATTATACAATGGCCTTCTTTGTCTTCTTAAACTGCCGTTGCTTTAAAGTTTGTTTTGTCTGATATAAGAATAGCTACTCCTGCTCTCTTTTGGTGTCCATTTGCATGAAATGTCATTTTCCATCCCTTTACCTTAAATTTATGTGAGTCCTTATGTGTTAAATTTATGTGAGTCCTTATGTCTTGAAAGCAGGAGATGGTTGGTGAATTCTTATCCATTCTGCAATTCTGTATTTTTTAAGTGGAGCATTTAGGCCATTTATATGTAATGTTAGTATTGAGATGTGAGGTACCATACTATTCATTGTGCTATTTCTTGCCTGTATACCTTGGGTTTTTTTTTTTTTCTTAAAATGTATTTTTATTTTACAGGTCCTGTGAAATTTATGCTTTAAAGAGGTTCTGTTTTGATGTGTTTCCAGGATTTATTTAAAGATTTAGAGCTCCTTTTGGCAGTTTTTGTAGTGCTGGCTTGGTAGTGGCAAATTCTTTCAGCACTTGTTTGTCTGAAAAAGACTGTATCTTTCCTTCATTTATGAAGCTTAGTTTCTCTGGGTACGAAATTCTTGGCTGATAATTGTTTTGTTTGAGGAGGCTGATAATAGGACCCCAATCCCTTTTAGCCTGTAGGGTTTCTGCTGAGAAATCTGCTGTTAATCTGATAAGTTTTCCTTTAGAGGTTACCTGGTGTTTTTGCTTCAGAGCTCTTAAGATTCTTTCCTTCATCTTAACTTTAGATAACTTGATGACAATGTGCTTAGGCGATGATCTTTTTGCGATGAATTTCCCAGGTGTTCTTTGAGCTTCTTCTATTTTGATGTTTAGTTCTTTAGCAAGGCTGGGGAAGTTTTTCTTTTCTTCTTCTTCCTTTTTTTTTTTTTTTTGTTTGTAGAAAGTGATTTAATTAAAGAGGAGCAAAACAGGAGAAGGAGAGAGAAAGAAACAGCTAAGTCTCACACTAAGCGAGAGAATCTAGAAAGATGGAATCCAGGAGAGGAAAGCAGCTTCCACACTGAATGGAAGGGAATAGAGAGAGATGGAGTTTAGGAGGAGAAGACAGGCTTCCACGAGAGAGTGTGGAAGGGGACTCCAGAGGAGAAATCTAGGAGAGAGAAAAATAGCTTCCATGAAGGGAGTGTTCGTGGAAGGGGACCCAAACATGGAGTCCAGAAGTTTTTCTTAATTATTCCTCCAAATATATTTTTCAAACTTTTAGATTTTTCT